TTCCCCGTCAGTTTGAAATCTCAGGGGAGGATCAGGCGATTGCCATTGCGTTACAGAGTAGCCATCGCGTAGCAGTAGCGGGCTGGGATGATAAGACTGGAGATGTTGGGCCGCTCCTAGCAGAGAAGGAGTTGGAGGGTGAAATTGTGTGTGCCGTTTGGGATGCTTGAGAGGGATGCAACTTCCATATGGCTGTAGATTATGTGTGCTTGTTAAATGAGGCTTTTCTTATCTTGGAATAAACACCATAAGATACCATGTACAAGAATGCAGAGAGAAAGAGTGCCATACTCTATGCGGAGACAGTGCGCATGGACTATTTTATAGTGCTCCACATCAACTTAGTCTTCCATAGCTAGGTCTGTGCTGTGTTGCCCCATATATCTGGCTGCTAATTGGTCTAGCGAAAACTGTCCATCACGAGATTGATCTTGAAGATACCTTGACCTTATCAGTTTATCTAATGTCCGCAATTTAAACATGGAGCGTGGTGATTCCAAGCCCAACAGCCGGTTAGTAGCCGCTTTGAATTGCCGCAAAGGGTAATTCAGACCGACTCCGAGGCTGGCATTGGCCTGGGGCTAGTTGACTCGCTAGTTCGTATCAGTCATTACCATTCATTTTACGAAGAGATACACGACCAGGATTACTATTATGGTGCCTTCCCACTGTGCAAGGTAGAGTCTTAACCTACATTGCATCATCCCGCTTTAAGAAACCGATTTATCTTACGAGTTCTCCATATGATGGTTAACAAGGGAAGAACAATAACTGTACGAGACATTACCGATGCTCTGGGACAACTAGCGGTGCGCCACTTATGCTTCCAAAGTAGTCTCCACTTGCACCTAATAGGACTCTCAAGAGGGGCTATGACTGGCCTGGCCATACTTCGTATATCCGAGGAATGGGAAAAGTCGTACTCCCACTGTAGTTGAGGGGATTCTATGACCTGACCAAAGCCACTCATTCATCTACGGTTTGAGCATCTAGTATCATGAAAATGAAAGACATATACATATATGTGTTCAGAAAGGGAGTGTGGTTTGCTAGCTAGAACTGCCTCCATCTCATATCGGAACATCAGAGCCGTGACTCACGAGTTACACACGCAGACTCATGTCTATCTCCGCGGCCTGCTGGCGGTATCAGTGCATGCCAAGCCGTGTTGTATCTTTACACATGCATATCGTCCAGTCTGTAAGTATGTGTAGTCACGAGCAGCCTTCGGGGCTGCACGACCTCCGGCCTATATTAGCGGGGTCGACTCTCTGCTCCCCCTCTCTTGTCAGTCATTCCCATGGTGTTTCTGCTAGCGGTGAACAGTTTTAGCCTGGGAACCATCATGGCTGGCGAAATACCACATACCATCAACGATGGTAAGGCTGCCGATAAGAATGTCGAGGCTCAGAGCACATTTGCGTCTACTTTGGTCGTGGATGTGGAAAAGTCACTGCATGGCAAAGAAACAGACCCCAGCAAGTCCTGCGTAAGTCCAAATGGCATGTCTGTTAGCACTCCTACAAACCAGGCCGGCAGTAATCCAGTCTACGCTGCCAAAGCACAGCTGCTGAATCAGGCACTGCTTGACATGCAAATGGGCTTATACCAATGGGTGCTCTTCATCATCACCAGTGCAGGGTGGTCTCTTGACAGTGTAAGCAATGTATCTGGAAACCTCTTCTCGTCAAAATTAACCTGCATCTAGTTCTGGATAATGTCCTTCGTCGTTATCGCCCCGTCCGCCTCGAACGAAGCCCAGTTTTTCTTTGCCGGAGATAAATCGTCCTACCTATTCGTCAGTCTGGCCGTAGGCCTGACTGTTGGGGCAACCGCCTGGCCATGGATGTCAGACATCCTAGGTCGTCGGTGGATATTCACCAGCACGATCGTCCTGATGGGCATGGGAGGGCTAGTCGGTGCCGGCATGCCTTCATTTACCGGCCTATGTGTCGTCGGCTTCGTGGTCGGATTTGCCGTTGCCGGTAACCAGCTAGTCACCGCCATTATCCTGATCGAGTCTCTTCCAGCTTCCCATCAATTCCTGCTCACCGTGCAAGGGGCGTTCTGGGGATTGGGCCAGGTAGTCTCCGCTGCGGTTGGATGGTGAGTGACCCAAAGCACACTTTCAATCATCATATCATCTTAACGTTTTTCAGGGCGTTTATCGCAGGGTATACGTGTGGCACCGGCCCAGACGCAGTCAGTACATCGCAAGCTCTGTCGACACACTCCTCCAGGGATGAAGCTCCGCCCAGAGCAGCACATCCTGCCACTACGTTTCCAACAAAGGATGGCGCTACGTATGGTGGACATTCGGCTGCATCACACTATTCCTCTACCTCTGTCGGTTCGCCTTTCCCTTGCGCGAGACCCCCAAATACCTCCTCTCCAAGCGCCGCGACGCCGAAGCAGCCCAACTAGTCAACGACATGGCCACCTACAGTAAACGCCGCACCTGGCTCAACGAGACCTCCTTCGCCCGGGTGGATTCCACCTTCGATGCCACCACATCCTGACGAACTCCACGCCTCCGCTCCCTCATCTTCGCCCTCAAACCCACTGGCCTGTCCATCCTCTGTCTCCTCTGGGCCCTCACCGGCCTCACCTTCCCCCTCCACAGAACCTCCCTCATAAGTTACCTCTCGACCACCCACAACATCGCCCCCATAACTCCAACAACAGTAACAACGAACTACCTGTACAGCCACTACCTCTACACCTCCCTCTGTGCAATCCCCGGCCCCCTAGCCGCAGGAATCCTAATCCAAACCAAACGCCTCGGCCGCACACGCACCGGCTCCGCAATCGCGCTTCTCACCGGCCTCTTCATGCTCCTCGCCACGCTGGCACGATCACGAAACGCGCTGTTGGCATTCGAATGCATACTCTCTTTCCTTCAGTTTGCGGGGCTGGCTGTTCTGACGACATACACGGTGGAGACCTTCGCAGCCCCGGTTCGTGGCTTCGGGGTCGCTATTATGGGGTTCTGGTGGGGGTTGTTTGCGCTTGTGGCTGTGATTGTGAACACCTTTGCAGGGGGTGTGGTTGCTGGGGGTGCGGCGGTTTGGTTTTGTGGTGCTGTTTGGGTGCTTTTGGCGGGGGCTTGGTGGAGGGTTCCTGAGACTAGGGGGGGTGCTGCTGCGTAGG